TGTAAAAGTACTAAATAAATAAATAAAGCTAGTATATCATGTTTTACGTCTACGAAAGAGTAATAAATTTACAATTAACTTAATTAAAATGAAAATCATCATTTGCAACTACGAATAATGTTACATGCAAATTAATGAAATAAGTTTTAGGAATATTCGCTTAAATCGCGTTATGCAAAGTTGGAAATTAAAGTTAAGGCTATTCTGAAATTGCATTGTATTAAAAAGGAACACATTAAAATTTAATATTCAGCTCTAACAAAATGCTAAAATGAAGTAACATCATTTCAAAACCTTAAAGCGAGATAACGTATTTTACCAACATAAAAATACAATCACAATTTCCTTCTTCGTATAATTTCAGGATTCTATGCATATAATTTTCTCCCACGTATTTCCCAAATATAATTTGCCATACAGGTTTTAATTTCGGGAAAGATTCATGCATATTTCATTACCTGAAGCTCAATATCATCAAATAAATCTGCCACATAATTTGCACTTTTATTTACTTCAGTGTGTCAGTGAAGCACGGTCGCGAGTTTAATATTATAAATTCAAAACTACGATAAAGAAAAAGTAAAAAATCTCTCCTAAACCTTCGTTCCACTCGAGCTATCTCTGGAAAATTAGTCTCCTTCATCAAAATGTGACAAACCTACTAAACCTAAATCTATTATCCTCTCTGGATGGTACAAAACAAAAATTACATTTTGCTGATTTGCATTTTTATCAAACATACAGAGGAAGGGTGTTTTCCGCGATAAAAACAGAATTTTCCTTTGTGTGCATAAATTTATCGTAGTACCGTGCAGCGGAAAATTCATTTTTTTAAAAACCTAAAACACCCAAAGTTGATTTTTAATCTCTTCGGAAGCGTTACCAATTTATGGTTTGTTAAACAGAAATATAATGGAAAAAAGATGAGAAAGAGATTACCTGCCAGAGTGAATTTTTTTTCCTAGAAAAGAGCAAACATATTACTGATGGTAAGTTTGAAAGGAAGAGTTTCATCTGCTGTCTTAATTTATTAATTTAGTTGAACTAAATTAATTCGTATTACTCGAATAAGCTTTTATAAGGGAGGTATTTCCTATGATATTATTTACTTGTACTGCACTTAAAGCAGATAATCCAGCAATGCGAAAAATTCCAAAAATAAAAATGTTTAAATCTCATATTTTTCATTTCTTGATAAGCATATTTTCAGCAAACAAAATAAGGATTTGTTTCTTAAATGTGAGGAATGTTTGCACAGCAAAATTGTATAGAGCTGTTTATAAAATACTAGAAAACCCGGCGGTCATACGAAATGACCGCTGTTCTAAATATTATAAATTGTAATTAAAATGATTTTTGCGAAAGTGTCTGCTAATTCAAACTGAATTACCTAGGGCAGGCGGCGAGGACGTCCCTTTGCTCACTGCCCCACGGGGTTTCACCATTCTACTTGCTTAATTACTTAAAGTAGAGTGCAATGAAGGAAACCACTGGCGTTATATTTCTTAAGAGCCACCGCTAGCTCAATAAATAAAGGTGATTTAAATAATAAAATGTTTATTCACATGTCAAAGATCGCTTTGTACACAAAATTTCTTGTGTAGATCTTTCCATCATTTTTCAGCTCGCCTTGCAGAGGACCATCCATTATTTTTAATTTTACGTCCGTTCTTTCACGAACTCTTAACTGAAAGGGAGGCAACATAAAATTGACCGTGTTCAAATGCAGGTTCAAGTAAAAATATGCCAACATGCTTAAGCGTTTGGCCCTGAGTCTTTTGGATGGTCATACCAAAGGCGAGTTTTACAGAAAATTGTCTACGTCTCAAATGAAACGGCAACCCTCTGCCGTGGCAACTTCAGCCCATTGGCTAGACCAGTTACGCAAGCAACCAATAAACTATCGGCGACAAACAGACAATTAAGCAGCATATATATATGGGGTGAAGTAACATCATCTCCTCCGAAACGGCTAGCTCCCGGGCTTAGCGAAGAACACCGTTGGATTCCGCAGGTTCGTGGCACTCCATTTTGATCATTCGCGTCTTCTTGGGACTATTGGCCGAGATATTAATTAAAACTAATTTTTCCCTACGTTTTCCCCACATTCTCTACTTTCTTTCTTGGGTTTTCCCTATTAGAGGGATTTGACTACGTGCCAAATTCTTTTTTCTCGAATATTTACGGAACGGCGCCGAGTTGAAATTCGAGACGGGTATCCTCGGATTCCAAAAAATTCTCCGAATCCATCGATACCGTTCTCATCTTTTCTTCTCATTTTTTCCTGCATTTCATTTAAACTTATTGGATTGAATTAAATCTACTTCGCCGACAGCGCATAAACCACAATAGAATAAATGCATTCTTTAAAATGTACTCTATTTGTTTACCATAGCGACACTCTGGCTCTAGGTTCACTTAACAGTATTATATTTCGTTCATATTATAATTCAGAATGCACAAAATTTATATCATTTAAAGAATTATCTAATCGTTGCCACATGTTTTATTCAAATACTATAATAAAGCTAGAACGATGTATAAAATAAATTAAACAAACAAAACAAAAAAGAAACAGTTTTTCCCAGACGATTGAGTATTTCTCATTCAATTAACCCCTTAACTGGTCAATTTTTTTCCAGAAATGTTCCAAAAAAAAGCATATTTTTTATTGCATATAATTAAAGGCCTAACTTAGTATAAAAGGAAAATGAAAGAATTCTTTTTTAAATTTTGATAAATAATGAATTTAAGCATTTTTTTATTTTATAACTTTGTAACACAAATGCCCCTACTGTTGGTTTTTTGTAATCACGGAGTTTATGCAGTGAAGCCTATTATACAGATCTCAAGAAGACTGTGAATCTGCTAAAAAAAGAAAACTTAACCATACGTTAAAAATGCACATACTTCAAACAATACCATAACATGTTGAGTATAGTCCTTTTTTGTGTGATACAATTTAAAACACGGTGTCAGACAAAGTCCTACATCACAATCAGGACAGAAATACCGCGTTTCCTTTCGGATTCTCTTTCCACTTTCATTTCTCCTGGAACAGCATACAACGTATTGTCTGGCAGGTCTAAGTTTTTACTCTGTTGGAGCAATAAATTCTATGAAGTGTCTCTCGGTCAGTCTCAAAGGATTAGGCTCAGAACCAGGTCGTCCATATTTGCAAGCCATCCCAGAATGGTATTTCTCGATAATATCTGTATTAAAAATTACGAAATAAATCTTAAACACTTATTTCCTCGATAAAACTCCAGACAGGATTAAGCATGATTTAATTCGCAATAATAAATGAAGGCGTTTTATCTTTGTTGTTGCGAAGCTAACTTTCTTTAGATTGGCAACAAATTTACTATCCTGCTGTTTCAAATGAATAAGCAATGGCCGTCATCAAAAAAATTATTAGGCTTAGCGGCACTTAAACAACTTTAAAATTACTAATTCAGAAGTCAAACACAAAATCAGCGTATACCTACAAAAACTTTTGTAGGTATAACGCTGATTTTTGTTGTTTGACTTCTGAATTAGTATTTATTCGGCGTGTTATTGTGTCTTAACTTTAAAATTGTTGATAATTCTAAAAATATTGCATAGAGATTTACTAAAGGCATAGAAAAGTTAACCAGAAGATAAGAACAACATAATTCAATCATTTTTAAAGCAAAAAATGTACAATTTACAAACATATAAGAGTAAAGAAATTGAGATCACTGAGCCGGGTAACAGAGTGGATATATATATAAACATATTTATATACGTTTGGCGGGGCCGATTGCAACCAAAATACGAGGTGCACATCTACATGTTATAGTAGTTCTATATAAAAATTTCAACGTTCTAAGGCTACTCGTTTTTGAGTTATGGGAGAAACGCACTTACGTTCGTACAGACGCCACGAAAATTTCTCTTCAGAATTCATTTTAAAGCAGTTTTATAATTTTTTTTTGGAGGAAAGGAGTCTTTTATTCTGTCCTTACGTACAGATATCACTCAAAAACTTCGTTAAATTGCATTCGAAATCGGTAAAAATGGATATTTTCGTTGAAATATGCTGCCTGAAACTTTTCTCGATTATAATACTTCCTTTGTACTTCGTACAAGGAAGTAAAAATATATAAAAAAATGGGGGAGGGAAGAAAACAACCGCATATCCTCACACAACTTTCGTATTTAAAAACTTTTAAGCTGTATTATTGAGAAAATACGTTTTATGCGAGAAGCATGACACTAGCATAATTTAACAATTTAAAACCTCTGCTTTAATTAGTGGATGTAGACTATCGTAACTGTGTGTAATTGTGACAAATAAAATTAAATTTCTAAAGAAAGTGGGAATAATTAAGCATTTTATTTATAGTTTTCTTTATTTAAAACAGAGAATGATATGTATCATAACTCATTTTCAAGCATATTGAGGTGGAATACGGTAATTTCTTTTAGTATTCAAAGCAATACCGATTTTCGTCAATTTACAAGTGAATTTGCATTTCGTGTAAAAATTTCTAGTTTAAAAGATTTCTTCTGAAAAGCTTTAGTTTCTGAAAAAGATTTTGAAGCTAAAGTTTCATTTAAAAAAAACATAGCATTATACTCGTAAATATCATTCTACAACACGTTAAATAGAACTGATAGCATTCAGAAATGATTGCCAGAAACAACGCCATTAAAGCTCAAGTAATTTCGTCATTTAATACACTACTTCGCATCATAATTCATCATTTTTTACAGTCAGTCAAAAAGCTTCTTAAGCTGTGTGTGAAATTTTTGCAATAAAAATATATGTACGAATTACAGTTAAAATGTATTTATTATAGAAATAGTTGTCGATGTTCTCCAGAAAATAATAATAATTTTCACATTTTGCGTTCAATAATATTAAAAAGTCTTTTGTTTTGAATATACCGTTTTGATAAAATTTATTGGCAACAATAAGAAATGAAGTTTATCGTTTAAATCAGAGTAGATCTGTTTGCATTTCAAATTAACTCTGTAAGTTTTCTTTTAAGCTGTTATAAAGGTAGTTTTTCAAATAATGGAAAGCATTACTTCCTGTCATTTAAATTCAAAAAAGGTGAACGCGAATGTAAGGTATGGCTCTCATTTTCCTAGATTTTACATATATTAAATAAAAATGTTTATTTTTATCGAGTTTCACTGCTTTTTCTCATCCAGCACTTTAACTAAATTATTAATAACGGAGTATGAATTATCACCAATTTAGGTGCTACTTTGGTAGACGGTTGCACGGTTTTTGGCGATTTATATTGGCGCAATTGTTGGCGCGGTTTTTGCAGTCGTCAGCCATCTTGAAAAATGCTGTTTTTACGTATTTTACGCATAGTCAAGTATTCGAAACTTTAAAATAAATAAATATCGTTAAAAATAATGGATTAATTTTTTGTTGAAAACGTTGTTTTTTAAGATGGTTGTCATAAGTGTATCGTTTGAGCATTGTTTCTAGTTTTTCAATGCAATGATTAATTTCCGCAGGAAAAAAAAAAAAAAAAAAAAAATAGGTGTCGCCTTTCGAAAATTTCGAAATCTTTCCACTGTAATTGTAGCTGTGAGAGCCGCAAGGCTTTAAATCAAGGAGGTTAGAATAAATGGAGAGAGAGTCCTTAGTTTCCTCCCCGATCTGAGAATGAAACCCTACTTAACAAGCGGCGGCCACGTTTGTAAAACATTGCGTTATGACAGTGAAATGTACATTGCGGAAGAGGGGAAAAATCTGAAAGTTTTCAGATCGGGTGCCTTTTTAACTTTTTGTGTGTTACCTTTATTTATTAAATATCATGTTCTTTGCACTGAAACCATAAAATTCAGTTCAACAGCAATGTCGCAAAATAATTTTAAAATGAGCCTATCTTTAGAATTTCCGATACACAATTCCACGCGCTGGAGATAAAAAGGTTTCCCCGTAGAGTGTTGCCATTGCTCGCTTTTAAATCGTCGAGTTTGTTAATAAAACATTCGTTAAAGTTTTAAAAAATATGAAATGGTAATCAAACAAATTCCAAATTTCAAATTTGGCCTTTCGGATGCATACATTCGCAGAAGGATTGCGTCATTCAAAATCGGATGGCTCTAGGTACCGTTGTTTTATTACAATGCAAGAAACATACATACATTTATGCAGATTCTTCAAATGAAATACAGGGCGATAATATTTGCAACAATGATTTGAAAAGTGATACGCCGTTTATAGAGTTCCGACGCAAAAGCGCAAAACGAAAACAATTGTCCTTCAGAGACAAAGCTCCTTTGGACTAAAAAAGGGACATTTCTATATCTCTCGTTCTACAGGGCCGATTGACGAAATTCAAATTGCGTTTTTCATGTCTTAAAAGCGCGACTTAGGATATGTATTAGATTTATATATACTATTGTTTTAATGCAGGTATTATGACACAAAACTGGACTTTTTCTCAAATGTCATGGCAATGTTTTTCCGTTTATCGGTTCTACTACTCAAATTATGCCTAAATACTAAATTTTCTATTTTAAATTTTGGCCTATTTTTTTTCATTTTGGGCCAAGAATAATTCTCTTGGCGAACTTCTTAATTTACGGCAACCTATTTTCCTTTCCCTTTTTTTCATTGCAGACGAGTGGAAAATAACCCTTGAAAAAACTCATCGTTCATACTTTCATATAATTTAACAAACTGCGTAAACTACATTTGGCGTTATTATCGCTTATAACAAAAAAAAAAAAAAAAAAAAAAAAAAAAAAAATTTCAAAACGTGCCAATATGGGAATTGATGTATATCTTAGAACATTTGAATGAAAAACTCTATTTTTTTGCAGGTGTGCCTAGAAATACATCTACTTTAAGATGATGTGAAAAATTTTATAGGTTATGAATCAAATTTTTTTTCTAAAAATTTATAAAAAGTATTTAAAAATACAAATTTTAAAAGTAAAGTCATGAAAAATGGGCGAATTTTATTTGGAATGAACCTAAATTTCGAAATGTGAAAGGAAGGATAAAATAAGTTTAATAGAAAAAGGAATATTAACAGATATATACCAAATTCAATTAACATCGAGGAACTAAAATTTCGAGAGCTAATGTTTTAAAAACTTATCATGAGATTTTTACAAAACTTGGCAGTTTGGCATAATTGAGTCATAGAATCGAAATATTGAAAAAAATTCGCATGCCATTTTGTAGAGTCATTAGGTTAATTGGAAGCAGAAAGATGAAAAATATGCAACCGCCTTCGACGGGAATCGAACCACGGACCTGTGGAATACCGGCCCAGCGTGCTACCGTTACACCACGAAAGCACGCTAGGGAAGTGGGAGAAATACCTTATAATTTCAGAAAAAGTCCTATTTTGTGTCAAAATACCTATATTAGCTCAGTATCCTAAGTCGTGCTTTCGCGAGATGATAAATGCAAGTCGAATTTTGTCAGTCGGCCCAGTAGGAACTGGAGATATAAAGCTGTCCACCTTTTTTTTTTCGCAGTGTACGTGTTTCTAAGCTGTTACTTGCACGTATTTTATAGTTGAAATATGTTCAATTTATAATGAAACATTTTGTTAAATTTTTGTTTTATAGTAATAAAGATGATAAGTATAATTTACTATGTACGTAAAATTATTAAGAAAAAGTTCGAAATCTAAATCCATGGGTCTAATACATTAAAGCCTTTAAAAATTATGTTTCTGCATATTTCAAGGATTTGTTTTAGTTATATTAGTTACCTTTTGGTTGTACTTTCCAATTTTTCCTTTAAGATGTGATATTTCTGATTTATTCACAATATTATCATAAGTTATTAAAGAATCATTTTATATACAAATGTTTCAGATAGAGGAAAGAAAGTTATTTTATCTTAGTATGCTTAATACATCAGCTTTTTACTGGTACTTGACGCAAATAGTACTTCATTTTTTTCCCTTTTTTAAAGCATTTATTGGCATATTTTAAAAATTTAAATATTTCTTAATTTCAATTAAAGACACGTCTTAACTTTTGTCCATTTATCAATTTTTAGAAAAGTTTTTATGGAGGGAGGAAAACTGCTTTGGTGGAAACTTGAGAAAAGCGTTAATTTTGAATCAGCTTTATTAAATCAGATAACTTCTTGAAATCAGAAAGATTAAAATGCTGAAAAAATAGAGATAAAACCAACAACTTTGTAATAACAAGAAAATAAATATTAGTAAAATAAAAAACATTTATACGAATTTAATGATTTCAGTTTATGCTTATTTCATATTTATGAATCTCAAAGAAATTGCCTTGAATTAAGCTGAATAACAGAAATATATCTATATAAATATTTTGATACGTCTTAGTTACTTTTACTTTTTTAGTTACTTTATTACTTATTTAGGCCTAGAAATTAGCAAGTTTATGAAAACAACTTTTAACAACAGAACAGTTTATCTTGATCAAATGCACAAATTATATTCGTAATACATCGATTTTAGTGGATAAAATCTAGCAAATTTAATAGCTAAAATCTTTAATGCGCAAATTTCAAATATCACCCAAGTTTTTCTGCTGTGACCGCTTTAACAAGGGAAGTATTTATTTTTTAAATCAAAACTGTTTGATATTATACATATGCTAATAAGATGGTAACATATGTCATGCACCATTTTTTTTTGCGCAAATTCAGTATTTTAAACATATATCTTATAAATGTGTTTATTAGGCATTTCCTTGTTAAAGTGTATAAGGTATTTCTCCCACTTCCCTAGCGTGTCTTCGTGGTGTAACGGTAGCACGCTGGGCTGGTATTCCAGAGGTCCGTGGTTCGATTCCCGGTGAAGGCGGTTGCATGCTTTTCATATTTTCTGCTTCCAATGAACCTAATGACTCTACAATATATGCTAATAAGATGGATATGTAAAGCACCATATTTTTTTTGCGTGAATTTAGTATTTTAAACATATATCTTGTAAATGTGTTTATTGGGCATTTCCTTGTTAAAGCGATCTTCGCAAAAGACTGGGGCGATATTTGTACTTATAAATAAACGTATAGGTGCTTTAACAAGGAAGTAAGGTTTAATACTTTTATATATGTGTTATACAAATGGTTTTAATATTTTTAAACCTGCAGGAATAAATGTGTTTAATATTTTTAAATGCGCTAAATGTAAATGTGCTCAGCAATTTTAAACCTGTGTAATGTAAATGTGTTTTAGGAAAATGGTTTTTTGAATAAAGGTCGAAATTTTCTTGTGCTAAGTAGAAAATATAAGTCTTTAGAGAACTGCTTATTTATATTATTATGTTATAATAAAATTGCTCAGTGAAAAAAAAAAAAAAAAAAAAAAAAAAAAAAAGAAGAAATTGATTAATTTTTAAGGGCAGTTTAATTGTATATATTTCAGATGCCACCGACACTGCAAAGAGTGCAATTTAAACGAGTACTGTACTTTGTCATGCAGATGCCATGAACGCTGGCCTGGTGTTCCACTTCCTAAATTAATATTACCAGTGGTATCTCAAACGGAATGCGAGGATGTTTGTTGCAAACGAGGTAATCTAAAGAAGCCTAAAGTATTCGAAACTAACACATTATTTTTGTATTTACTTGCTATCGCTACCACGCTAGTAGTACTGCTCAAATTTTCAGAATAAAAAACTCTGCAACCATGCGCATAACCATTCTTCAGACAACCATGCTCATAACAATCCTTCAGTTAAGGCACACTACTACGTTCGACACCCAAATTTTGGAGGATAAATAAATCTGTTATTGGTGCTTTTTAGCAGAATATTACTTCAAAGGATGGAAACAGGTGATAAGCATATTATCAAAGTATAAATTTTGATTTTTACTTCCTTGTACGAAGTAAAAAGAAGTATTGTAATCGCGAAAAGTTTCAGGCAGCATATTTCAACGAAAATAACCATTTTGACCGCTATCGAATGCAATTTAACGATGTTTTTGCGCGATATCTGTACGTAAGGACAGAATTAAAGACTCCTTTCTTCAAAAAAAAAAAAAAAAAAAAATATATATATATATATATATATATATATATATATATATAAACTGCTTTAAAATGATTTCTGAAGAGAATTTTTTTCGTGGTGTCTGTACGTACCTATGTATGTATCTCGCGCAACTCAAAAACGAGTAGCCTCAGAACGTTGAAATTTTCTATATAGGATTGCCATAACATGTAGATGTGCACCTCGTATTTTGGTTGCAATCGGCCGCACCAAACGTAAATATATATGCATCCACTCTGTTACCCGGCTCAGTGATCTCGGTTTCTTTACTCTTATATGTTTGTAAATTGTGCATTTTTTGCTTTAAAAATGATTGAATTATATTGTTCTTATCTTCCGGTTAGGGTTTTTATGCTTTAGGAAATCTGCAAGCAATATTTGTAGAATTAATAAAAATTTAAAAGCTGTTTAAGGGCGGTTAAGTCTAATATTTAAATAACAGGGCGGAGATGTCTGTTTACATTTGAAACAGCAGAATAGTAGATTTGTTGCCAATCTAGAGAGACTAAGTTTCGCAACAACAAAGATAACGCCTTCATTTATTATTGCAAATCAAATCATGCTGAATGCTTTCTGAAATTCTTCCAAGGAAATAAGTGTTTAGGATTTAGTTCGCAATTTTTAATATAGATATTTTGAGTTTTCATGTATTTTTGCCTTATTGCGAAGTGAGAGCTGAAATAATTGAATGAGAAATACTGAATCGTCTGTGAAAACTGTCTCTTTTTTGTTTTGTTTGCTTAATTTCTTTCATACACGGTTCTAGATTTTTTATAATATTTGAATAGAACATGTGGGAACGATTAGATAATTCTTCAAATTGTATAAGTTTTGTGCATTCTCAGTTATAATATGTACGAAATATAACACTGTTAAGTGAACCTAGCGCCAGAGTGTCGCTATGGTAAACAAATAGAGTGAATTTTAAAGAGTGCATCTATTCTATTGTGGTTTATGCGCTATCGAAGAAAGAAGTTTTAATTCAATCCAATAAGTTTAAATGAAATGCAAGAAAAAATGCATATAATTTAATATTCCGTAAAAGGAAGTCATGCGGTGTACACATCAGATTTTGTTCTTACATTTTAAGTAAATGTGTTAAATTTCAGGGTTACTAGATATGTTCCCGCAAAACTATTTACGTATAGAGAATTAAATGGAATAAAATCTAATTTATAAACTAAATTGTCTATTAAATATACTTGTTCCGTCTGCGTGCACATGTCAATGCTTGCGACTGCGCACGCCTCAAGAGCTCTTGGATATTTTTATTGTGTGAGAATGTGTGTGTCAGCAGTTTGAGAGAACTTATGTTTGCAAGTCGACTGCAATTAACCTTTAATACCAAAAGTTGTTAAAGGTTAATTACAGTCCAACTGTGTACAATACTTGGCCGTTCAGGAGCGGAGTCAATGGATTATCTGAGTCACCGACAAATAACGAGTCAGTCAGCAATTTCGATTTAAAAATGAAAGTGCCATTTTATTGATCAGATACTGTATAACAGTTTTGAGAAAAACTTATATTATATTATGAACTCTGTTAAGAGTATTTTAAGAACAATTTCTTTATTATAATTGCATTGTGGTATTTTATTAAGAGTATAATGTTGATAAAAGCTGCCAAAGATTTAAAGTTACTTGCTTTGGAACTAAATATAAATTTATATGAAAAGCTAATTGTTTCTGATTTAAATTTAGCGACTAAAAATAGTGAAGCTCTTATATCCGACCCATATTCGGTAATAAGAGTAAATCTATAGTAGGGCATCGTAAATCTGAAGAAGCCAGAGTATTACAATTCGAACAAATTAATTTGGGGAGATATAGAACAAAACTGGAAACTACTGGATTACGATCTGAAATCAGATTTCGCAATAATGGTGAAAACTAAACAAAAGGAGACAATTCTAATTCCTTAGATACAATTATTAAAAGTATAAGAACTGTAAAGCTCAAGGTTCCAAGTAAATCTGAAAAATAGAGTTATTTTTTCTCTTCTTTAGAAAGAGCTCTCACGACATAAAATGTGTCTGAGAAATCTAAGTAAAAAATATTAAATTTATTAGGGGAGTGTGCTTTGAAAATAATCGTTTAGGCCCACCAGCTGCCGAGCGGTAAAAGTTGCAGAACACTGGTAGTTCGTCCTAGGATTCCCGTCTTGGCGAACGGGTTGGCTGCATGGGCGTTTCATTGTTTTTCCCAATGTGTATACGAGCCAGTTTCCCTTAAAAAAACTTCCATGGGGCATCCCTCCCTTTTCATGTAGTGTCTAATGGCGAAACAAGTATTAAATAAAAAAAATTATAGCTTATATAACAGATGACAATATAAACGACTACAAAGTAAAAGGTATTGTTCTTAAAGAATTCGAACCTCCATCACAAACTGCTTTAGAGAGTTTTAAAAACGCTCAGCGCCTAAATGAGTCCCATGTGCAGTTCGTGTCGCAATTAACGACGAATTTTGAATATTACTTAAAACTGAGGAAAGTGTCTGATTTTGAAACAGTACAGCAGTCATTATAATATCAGACAGACTGTTTGAAACATTAAATCGAGAAACGTCAGTCCATATTTCTGTAAGGCAAGCTGAAAGTTGGTTTACCCCCAATAAATGGCAAAGGAAGCAGATTTATTTTTCCCGGTGAAAATTCTTTACGGAAAATGTGAACAGCTTTAAAAAATCTTGAAACAAATATAATATACGTCGAAAAATGTTTCAAAGGTATTGTTTGCCCATGTAAAAACGTCTTAAAGTGTGTGACGTCTGTGAGGAAAATAATTTCTTGGCAAAATACCCAAATTACTTGAAACTGCCGGTGAACGATCGAGTTGAAATAGTCAAGCATAATAAACTACGTTTTAATTGGTTAAATATCTCGCATTCTGTGTTTAACTGCGATTCAAACATATTATGCGTTTGTTAATATAGACATTACATTTCTCGAAGCAGAACGTTTCTTTCGACGGCGCCAATAACTGTATTTCAGCTAAACATAAAAAAGAAAAATTTGACACCAGTAGAAATGAAAGGGCTGCAGTCGAATAAAATTATAACTACAGACTTTGAAGGCCGCACCTGCAGAACCGAATACACATCTTCTTACCAAAAAGCTTAGCTTTCATGAATCATAACTTTCAAAAAGGAATATAATTTTATTAATGCATTATATTATTTATCGAATCGGAAGTTAATGAAGTTAAATTATGATGAGTGCTTGACGGAGGACCTGAATGCAGCTTTTTATCGCTATTGCAATTGTATTAGGTTTAAACGATGCACCTTTAACAGTGAAATGCAGAGTAAATGGAACAGTAAACAATCAGGATAAAACTGGGTGTAAGAAATTTGGACATTTAGTTGTGCCGAAAATAAGTACAGATGTAAATCCACCAAAAAAAAAAAAAAAAAAAAAAAGACATTTGTATTTAGGAATTTAACAATGTTAAATCAGCGAATAATAAATTTTACATACAAGAACGAGTGAACATGTCCTGGGGCAGAAGTATTTTACGAATTATTACGACCAGGACAATTCCAGTTAAAAGATTCAAATCATATCCTTCAAAACTCCAGCACTTAGAATCCCTGCAAAACTCTGTGCTTGGGTTTGTGGTTTCCGGTGGGGGGGGGGGTCGTCGGTAAAAGCTAAAAGAGTTCACCATGGAATTGTTTAAGAGGACTATGATTCAGATCGAACTGTTAAGAGGTTCTGTGGAACAGAAAATATTAGAACAACCATTCCAAAAAATAATGTAACAGCAATATGTGAATAACATTAGTATACGCAAACTCATAAGCGGAATGAAGAAGGAAGATACGTATGTTGTAATAATGCCGCTGAAAGAAGACCCTATTCCTTTAGGAAATTCAAAAGATTTTTGTTCTTAAAAGGTCAAATTCACTAAGGAAACAATTAGTGAAAAACCCTGAAAATTTCAAATTATTATTTATGACCCTCATAATTGTGGGATGGCATCGTTTATTATAATCGGATGACGCGACAAGCTGTGAGAATAAATCTTTTATTTTTCCGATGATAGAAGTCAGACGATTCCGCCATTAAGACGATGATGCGACTTATGTAAAAGACGGTCGATTCTCTTCATTATTCTATTATTTAAATTTTTGAATAATAGTAAATGCTAGCTGTCAAACTTAAAATCTTAATAAATAATATCTTATAAAATCTGTCCTTAAAATGCGGAATATATATATGTAATGGACACGACTTGAATGATTTGATCATGAATGCAGTACAAACTTGCATGAGAATTTCCGATGAAACAGGAATTTTCCCATAATTCACTGAGAACATAGAATAACAAACACGTGTAGCTTTCTTCATAATTACGTAGAACTGGCCGAAGAATGTAATGACAAAACCCTTTTGGAGGCACTGAAATAAGAACACTGAGACATAGATGCGTAGATAATTGATGCTTAGAGAGTCCATTCATTTTTGAAGAAGAAGCAGTCGAGTAGGATTAAATTCCTTTTTTATTTAAATTACCATTTT